ATACTACTCCCATATTCTCCAATTTCATAACTATACAATATATATACACTATCTTTTTACTTCAACATTAAATCACATTCTATGTGATAACCTACCAACAATTCTTTCCAAGTACCCTCATTCAATCAAAACAAACTACCTCGCAATTATTTTGCAGATTGCAAAATATTTTTCTGCATCAATTCATACACCACATTGCACAAAAAAAAAATTAAATAACATCAGCACACAAATACATTATTAACACGGGTCACGAATGCTCACCCTCTGGACTAGTCTAACTATATAAAAGTGGGTGTTGCTTGAATGAACAGTAAAAAAGTGTCTCGGTTGGTTATTTGGCCATTGGTCAATTTGTTTGCCCTATTATGGTCCATTTGCTCGGTGTCATGGATTTGGAGATATTGCTTTAGCCTTAGTTTTTCCTATTTTCTGCCTATGCCATTCATTTTTGCCTTGATCCAAGATCTATGTTACAAGTTGTTTTGCTGCTTCGTAATTTACTTCTTCTTTGGCCCTATTTTTGATTGTTCTCTTTTGTGGACCACAGACATCAGTTTTTGTTTCTCAGCTTCTTTCAATTGAAAAATGAAAGATGAATAAAAGATGCTCCTTCTGTTGGAAGCTTCACTGTTTGACTCTGACTTACTTTTATAATTGCAATGCTATATATCATGCGTACCTTTTTTGCCTCGTATTGTATTATGGTATTGCCTATTTTATGGTACTTTTTTGCCCCTTTCTTTTCCCTTTTACGAATTGTTTATGCTTCCCTTCCCCTGGCCAATCGGTAATTTTGTTACCCGCTATTGTGCTACATTTTCCGTGGAGCGTGGAGCAGGTAAAATTTTCTGTCTTTTTGTTTGCCACTTACAGTGCCGCCTTTGCCCCTGCATTAAATGCTCAATTTTACCTTTTTATTTATTTACTCTTTTACTGAATAACAAATTGCTGTCTCTCTGCTGTTTTAGGTCCCTTAGTATTTTTTTTCTTTATACTGCTTTTCGTAGTACTTTGTTTCTTGTTTTTATTGTTTTCTTTTGTTTCCAAAAACTTCTTTCAAGAGTGAGTTGCATTTCTTTTGCTTATTCTCAAGAAGTCTATGTTGTATATTATGCTTATTTTATTTGTTGATATTTCCCTTCTTTTGCTCGCTTGTTTGTTCTGGAAATTTTTCTTAGACCTAGCATCAATGATCCGTTCTTTAGGTCCTCTATATGCATGCTCATAATTTTTCTTTTATATTTTCTATAATTTACTAGTTTCTTTTATATTATTAGAATTCGTCTTTCTCATTTTCAAAATTTTTTTTTCTTGTTTTCGATACTTTAATTTTTTTCAATTAATTTCGTAATTCCAATAGTTCTTTCGAATGTTTGGTTTATGAACCACACGCACATATATAAAAGTATATAAAAGGGTGAATGCTTTGCATGAATAGGCAAATAACTACTTTAGTTGATTGCTGTATCTTTGGCTGATTTATTTGAAATTGTAATAACCAATGATGGTTACAAAATATACCATGCAATGTAAATTCTACGTGGAACAATGAGTTTCAACTTATATAGACATTTATATGTATTCATAAAGAAAATAAAACAATATATATCCATAAAAAAATCCGAAGAAGTTTTGATGTAATCATTGCTACTTTGGCAGCCTAAAGCAAAGAAAATGTTGTTTCTACCAAATTTGGATTATTTTCATAGCCCTCTTCTTAGCATTTGCTCTTGGTATACCTTGAGCTTTTAGCTTTATATTTTATTACACAATTATAATCATGAGTATTTTAATTATATTGTAAAAATACTATCTTTTTGCCTCTTTTATACAATCATATCCACCGGTTCATCTTTATTTAGGTACAATTACTATTTAAAACAAATAAAAACCTAATATATCCATCTTACTTTATAACTAACTATTATTTTATTTGTCCATTACAGTTTCTCCAATCAATGCATTCTTGATGCAGTATGAAGAACCACAATGATACATTGGTATTCATTTTATAAAATTTCCCGAATTTACATCATTTTTTCTCCAAAACACATTTAACATGTATTTAGATCTAAATTGCAGGTCATACCACCAAAATTTATACATTACTTGGAACCACACATAAGAAGAAGAGTAATTTTCAAAGTTGGAAACAAAATATGGTTTCTAAAACTAGATGAAAATCCTCAAATTCTGGATGAAAAAAATTCATTGGCGATCACAATCTACAGCCAAATTCACTAATATATTTTTTCTACATTGGAGTGATGACATTTAGAGTTCAAAATTTCAACCCAAATCACTACACTAGCTTCTACGAATGGAATATCATCCCCATTGAAAGCACACAAGCAAAAGCAACATGGTAACATAATTAATAATAAAATATATCCACAGAGTTCAACAATACAACTTCCTATTTATTTATTTATTTAACAATTGCAGGCATTTTTTCTGCAAGAGAAAGTTTCCTCATAAAGTTCGCATTTTATGTAGTCATCAAGCCCACAGACATGGAAATTTTAGTAAGCCAAATTTTTTCAAACACATACAAAAAAATTGCACATAAATTTACTTTAGCCATAAGATACTGCAAATATATTGCCAAACAAAAACAATATAATCATCTTCTATTACCAATACAAATGTTGGGCCATCAAAGTTGAAGATAAATTTTTAACCTATGAATAGAAAAAAATGCTATGATACCATATTATTTGATCATGCTATACTCTCGTAATTACCCACTTAGGCATGAACGAATATTGAATGCACATATTCGATAATGAACTTGTAAAAGTTGCTCCAATATAAAATAACTATAAAGTTATGCCTTTCAACCTTTAATACTATTCCCATATCCTCCAATTTCATAACTATATATACACTACTATCTTTTTACTTCAACATTAAATCACATTCTATATGATAACCTACCAACAATTCTTTCCAATTACCCTCATTCAATCAAAACTTACTACCTCGCTATTATTTTACATATTGTAAAATATTTTTCTGCATCAATTCATACACCACATTACACAAAAAAAAAATTAAAAAAACATCAGCACACAAATGCACTATTAACACGGGTCACGAATGCGCAGGGCCTCTTGAATAGTATATATATAATATAGTAAGTTGGATGAAATTAGGTGTGTTAGTTGGGCACCCATTAGAAAAACCCATTTTAAAATGACAATTATGACTCTTGATTGAACATTTAATGTTGGAATATGTTTTACATACTTAACTTCTTGTCATATGTTTTGGCAACTAAACGCTCGAAACAAAATGTAAAGTGCCTTTAAGATTCTTTTCTATTGCTGAAGTTAGTGTGGAAAATGAAAAGAAATATTATTGTAAGTCAAGAAAATATCATGATTGACGGAACATTTTTCTAATCTTCGTCCCACATTGCCTTAATATTTTGAAAGCTACAGAACAACCTATACAAAGTTTAGAGTTTTTATTTTTATTTTTATTTTTTGGTCAATCGTCATCCCTACTCTACTCTATCCTAATCTAACTAGGGGAAGGCCTAACTGGGCTTATGGGGGACCGATGGGGACAGAACCATTGCCCCCTTTGAAACTATTGGAATTTTTTACAGTTGCCTTCTCCATTTCTACAATGAAACCTTGAAAGAAAGTATAATAATAGTACTATTTGTAAGTCCTTTCTAATTAACCTTATTTTGCTTAATATTGAACTCCACTTATGTGTCTAAGCATATAAATTACAAGCAAATTGAAAATTCATTGGATCGTTTGGCCAAATACACATTAATTTTCTATTGTATATATCAATGTACATCTCATAGATTTATGCATAATATTAACTATTGTATAATTTTATACCATTAGATGACCTGATAACTATTAAATGCATAATAAATGACAACCTATACACAATTCTTATTTTATTTTGGCAATATTGAATAAATTACTTCATGTCTATTAACCTTATGAGAAACATTTAGTTGAGCTAAAAGTTCACAAACCACAAGTTGTAAATTTAATATAAATTATTGTATCCTATGACCGAAGATCCTGGTTTAGCCACCGCCTCTAGAGGAATGTTATTTTGTAAAAATAAAATTCTACCCCAACCTTTATATGGTGGAATCTTTCAAAGAGGTAAACTGTGAATTTTTTTTATTCATAGAGGCAAAGTGCAATTGCGGTATAGATTTAGGGGTGAAGTGTAATTAACCCGAGTGTATATTCAGGCTATGCTCTTTGATTTTAGAATCTTTGCTCATGCTTTCATCCTTTAGGTTTTGGACTATTCCCACTGGAGTTAAATAAAAAAAAATTCAATAACCTAGCTGACTATAAATGTCACTAACCACAAAGCTATACTCGTTAAGAGTTTATTTTTTTGTAACAAGTGAAGTTAAATTTGCAAAAACGTCTAAATATAGGGGATAAAATATATGTCTGCGATAATTATGTGAATCCTAGTTTTATTTAGCAATGGTTGTTGACTTTGCAGTACCATTCCACAATTTGGAGGAATCTAAATATTTTGGGTGTTTGAATAATGTTAAGCTGAAAGCGGGGCACCCTGTGGGGTTTTCTATCTCACATCGGTATTGGGGGGGTTGGGGTTGGGGTTTGGGTAGATAAGTCCCTCACAGGACTCCAAAAGTTGCCTGCTTTTGGAGTTACTGTGGGGATTAAGTTTATTTGCGTAAATTCTTACTTCTGTAAGAAAATGTCAGAAAGAATAATGTTAATCTGAAAGCTCCAAAACCATTGGATGGTCAAATGTTGAAATCAGAAGTATGTTAAAAATAATTCTGGATCTCTGACTTTAGCCATTCCACTGTAGAATGATGTGCACATTGTTGCCTATTTGTCAAAGTTGCTGATGCTTTACCCTCCCATTTAAAAGCAGAGGTTTGTATAGCAAAGTAAACATTCATCTATGCAAGCATAGCTCAAAATTCCATAGCAGAATAAAATTCTTATACCAGTTCCTACACTACAAAGATGAAGAAGACAAAGCTTGTTTTTGTTCCATCACCAGGCATAGGTCACCTAATATCCACAGTTGAGCTCTCCAAGCGCTTAACTGAAAGAGATGATCAGCTATCAATATTTGTTCTGGTCATAAGCTCACCTGTTGGCCCAGACTTGGAGTCCTACACTCAACAAGTGGCTGCTTCAAACACTGGTATTCAATTCATCAACATTCCTCAAGTAGATCCGAATCTACCACAGGTCTGGAGCTCCCCAGAAAACCTTTATGCTCTCTATTTGGAAAGCCATAAATCCCATGTCAAAACAGCAATAATTGATCAAGTACTAGTATCAGAATCCATCACTTCTCTTGCCGGGATAGTTGTTGATCTATTCTGTAGTTCGATGGTTGATGTAGCGAATGAGTTTGGCGTTCCTTCATATGTGTTCTTCCCCTCTGGCTGTGCCTATCTTGGCTTCATGTTTTATCTTCCATTTCACTATAGCCAAAATGGAAGAGAGTTCGAGACTTCAGATTCTGATTCAATTATTCCAACTTATTCTCACCCTATACCTTCAAAGGTTATACCTTCTTATGCATTTAACAAGCATGGTGGTTATTCCTCATTCGTAAAACATGCTACCAAGTTCAAGGAGACAAAAGGAATCATCATAAACACGTTTGCAGAATTAGAACCTCATGCTGTGGATCAATTGAAATTCGATTCTGAAACACCGCCAATCTACACGGTTGGACCCTTGCTCGACCTGGAGGGCAGAAAGCAAGAGCCTGATCACGAAAAAGTAATGAAATGGCTAGATGATCAGCCTCCATCATCAGTTATATTTCTCTGTTTTGGAAGCATGGGTAGTTTTGAGCCTGACCAGTTAGCAGAAATGGCACTTGCACTCGAGCGGAGTGGATACAGATTCTTGTGGTCAGTCCGGTTATCAAAGGCCTATACAAAAGGGATAGGTGAACATTCCAATATTTCTGAGATGTTGCCGCAAGGCTTCTTAGAACGCGTCGAAAATCGAGGATTGGTGAGTAGTTGGGCACCACAAATGGAGGTGCTGGCTCATGAAGCAGTTGGGGGATTTGTATCTCATTGTGGCTGGAACTCTATACTAGAAAGCCTGTGGCATGGGGTGCCTGTTGCAACATGGCCTGTATATGCTGAGCAACAAATCAATGCGTTCGAGTTGGTAAGAGAATTGGAACTGGCTTTGGACTTGAAAATGGATTATCGAATGGAAAATGCACAGAATCTTGTAGTGGCTGAGAAAATCGAGAAAGCTATCAGATGCTTGATGGACACAGAGAATCCGATAAGAAAAAGAGTTCAAGAAATGAAGGAGATGAGCAGAAAGGCCATTGAAAATGGGGGTTCTTCATTCATTTCACTTGGACGTTTGATTGAAGATATGCACATCAACATTGGAAAAGATAAGGGAAGTTTCTAAGTTTTTTCAGTTCTTATTGTCACTTGATCATCAATCAACAGATGAAGGGAAGTTTCTTCAACTTCCTTTTTTTCTTTTTGCTTTATTGGTTTAATATTAGTTCTTTCTCAATCCATCTTTATGTGGTCATACTTATGCTTTCAAATCTATTCTTGCTTTCGTTAAACTTTCCAGTTGAATACTTTCATTTTTCATTTTTTCCGCTAAATATTAGTATAAACTTGGTGGTTCATAGGTTTCTTCTAAGATTTGTTAGTAAGTAACATTTTCTCCATAATTATCTTTTTGATTTCATATGGTGATCATTAAGCTGTTACTCTCAATTGGAATGAAAATTGAAATTGTCCAGAAGCTTGTAGTTCACTTGTTATACATCTTATGTTTGCTACTTATTTCGTATATATAAAATCAATACTATACACTTGTTATACATCTTAAGTTTGATTTCCTATCAATCCGGTTTCGAACCTCTTGTGGAACATTCATTGTCATATAAGATTTGTGTAGTACATCTTATCCTTCTGTGTGGTTGACCGGCTATTATATGGGATGAAATTTATCTAATGCGTACTCTCAAATAGTGATTGCGGTTGTCAAACAAAAAAAAAAAAAAAAAAAAAAACTCTACACTGTGCCTTACACATCAAAGTTTTAAAAAATTGGCCTAGGTCATGGTCAAGAACTTTCCCAAGTTGCGCTTTCTTCCCAGTTCCCAGAGTCGCGTCAAATAAAAAAAGAAATGAGAGTCGTGTCAAGTTTTTTCTCTTTTACGATTGAAAGTTCTTCAATGAATTAATTATTGAATCTAACATGAAAATCATTTCCCTTTCATCATTTTCAGGTGTTTGGTTAGCTTATTGAAAATATTTTCTTACTTCATTTTTCTGGTGTTTGTTTAACTTTTGAAATATTTTCACTTTTATCTCTATCTTTACTTTCTACACATTATAACTACATACTTCTTCCCATGCAAAATAAGAAAATTTATCTCATTGTTTAACTTTAAAAAAATCTTGGAGAAATGTATATATGAATAAAAAATATCTCCTTAAGCAATAAACAAATTGCTGGCCATTTAGTGTCAAATATCAATCACATGCAATGCTTATTGTGACATATATCTTGCACTTTCACTGCTGAAAGTTTCTCTAGAAAAGAATTTCCTATTATACATAATTAATTACTAGCATAGGATGAGCAGGATGAGGTTTTTTTTTTATTTTGAATATACTAGGGGGAGGGTTGGATGGTACGGGGGAGGGAGTGTAAGAAAGAGGTCTTGGGTTCGAGTCCTCCTGTTTACACTAAAAAAAAAAAACATACTACAAGATGTTTTCAATAAGTTTGGAACATACTACAGGCGGGATGCATGCATTTCGGAAAACAACTTCAGTAAGTTTGGAAGGGAAGTTGTTTTCCATAAGATGAGTGAAAATATTTTACATAGGAAAATGTTTTCAGTAACTTTTGTGCAACCAAACACAGTAAATTAGGAAAATATTTTCTTGGAAAACATTTTCACCCGAAACAAACGGACCCTAGATCTAAGTTTGGTCGCCAGCCACTGGCAATGTCCAATGATACAAATGAACTTCTACAAGGACACATGTAAGATGCAAGATGACTTTCTTTCGCCGAAGGCTTTATTTTAATTGAGAAATTTGAGGAACGATTTAAAATTTATTCAAATCGTTGTAATTATTTAAATTACTTAATAGACATTTAAATTTATAATATATCAACTATTAAAATTTATTTTAAATATTAGAATAATTTATAATTCATAAATTTAAATATCTCCTAAATAGTATTAAACAATTAGAGAAATTTGAAAGAATCTCAAATTTTTTGTCAAATCCCTCAATTAAAAAAATAGTTGGATAGTTTCGACGCTCTTCAACACATATACATAAAGAATGACTCAGAGACTACAATATGCGGCACAATGAAGAACCAAGAGAGCGAAACCACTTGCAACGCTTGCTCACTTGCCCTAGTATTTTTGAATTAAGTCGAGTCCCTTTTTTTTTTTTTTTTTTTTTTTTTGCTTTCATTTACTTTTGGTAACAATAGGTTGAACCCTTCTATTAGTACCAGTGCTAGAAATTCAAGCAGTCAATGTGCGGATCACTTTGTCGATAAGAAATATTCTGAAATTATTAAACTTTGCAAACGATTGACAGAAGAAAAAAACTGTGAATACTTCTGAGACATATTAAATGTAGAAGATAGTGTATAAATTAGAAAAATACTTGTTATAAATTCAGGAAAAATGTTATCCTACTATGATATACTTTTACAACACAAGTTAATTAATTAGTTGTAATGATATGAAGTAAAAAATTCGTTCATTGATTTGGTCAAGGATTTACTGACATTAATTATAGCGCGAAGATGTTAGGATACAAATTGAATAAATAAATACTGATACAAAGAAAACCATTAACTAAAGAAATTTAAAACACAAAAGTACTACAATACATTTTAAAAAAATTATTTGCTTGTATCATTAATACATTTTTCAACCACATTTTCATCTCATATACATCATATCAAAAAAATGTTACAGTATTTTTTTCAAAATATTATCCCAAATAATCTACCATCCAAACACGCACACATACAGACACCTAACTTGATCAACTTTAATCAAGTGATAATCAAATGTACTCCATTCTGACCCTGCTTCTTGTACTAAGTCAAGTCGGTCCAAATTTTATTCCATTAAACGGCATGTACTTAGCTATGCATAGCAGCTTGTGGGGTTTTTGATACCTGACGCAAGTGTATAGGGCTTTAGACGAGACACTCCAGAGAGGTCGATGGTGTGGTTGTTCCTTGAGAAATTCGAATTGAATTACTAGAGGAGTTTTAAACAAATTCTACCCACAAATGATTTGAACTCCATAATCCATATGTGTGTGTGTGTGGTCAATCCATTACTTCATGAAAATGCTTCGGTTAAAACTCATTTTTACGGGGATTACAGATTACAATGGCAGAATAATTGCCCAAGGTACAAAACTGGTTTATTTATGTGATAACTGAATCGCGACATTCTTATTGATCACAATCTGTTTGGATAGAGTACTATTTAAAATAATTACTATAATACTTTTTGTGATGTGTTGTATGTAAGATGGTTGGGAATATAAAAAAGTGAGTTGAAAAATATGTTTATAATCAAGCAAAATATTATTTGAAAAAATTTACTTTTTAAACACTGACTTTGAAAAATTTGTTGTATGTAAGATGGTTGAGAATATAAAAAAGTGAGTTGAAAAATGTGTTTATAATCAAGAAAAATATTATTTGAAAAAAATTGCTTTTTAAACACTAACTTTGAATATATTTGACATTAGCAAAGCTTTTTTATTAAAAAAAATGGAGAAATAGTCAATCAAAGTGTTTGGTAATCATGAAGATGTGAAATAGGTCACCACTAATGAAATGAAGTAGGGTTATCTAGCCGAAAATCGTGTTGACAAAAAAAACAAAAACAGCTATTTAGAATTTTAGTTATTTTAGAAGTTGATTTTTTATTTAATAAATAGATTAGAATTGATGTTAAAGTTGGTTTAGAAAATATAGTTGAGTTGTGTTTAGATATTAGTATTGGAATAAGTTATATGGCTTTATTTATCTATTCAAGGACTTGAAATCGTAAGTTTGTATTTGAGGAAAAAAATCAATTCATTGAATAAATTATTGATCCTTCCGAGCCTTCCTTATTCTTGATATTTTGATATGTTCTGCCGTTTGAAGCTTTTGCTTCATTTATTGTTTGGATAGAGTATTATTTGAAATAATTATTATAGTACTTTTTGTGATGTGATGTATGTAAGATAATTGGGAATATAAAAAAGTGAGTTAAAAAATGTGTTTATGATACAGACAAAATAATATTTGAAAAAATTTGCTATCCAAACACTGACTTTGAAAATATTTGACATTAGCAAAGCTTTTTTTAAAAAAAAAAATCGAGAAATAGTCAATCAAAGTGTTTGGTAATCATGAAGATGTGAAATAGGTCACCACTAATGAAATGAAGTAGGGTTATCTAGCCGAAAATCATGTTGACCAAAAAAAAAAAGCTATTTAGAATTTTAGCTATTTTAGAAGTTGATTTTTTATTTGATAATTAGATTAGAATTGATGTTAAAGTTAGTTTAGAAAATATAGTTGTTTGTGTTTAGATATTAGTATTGGAATAAGTTACATGGCTTTATTTATCTATTTAAGGACTTGAAATCCTAACATTTTATTTGAGGAAGAAAAATCAATTTGTTGAATAAATTATTGATCCTTCTGAGCCTTTCTTATTCTTGATATTTTGATATGTTCTGCCAATTGAAGCTTTTGCTTCATTTATTGTTTAGATAGAGTATTGTTTGAAATAATCAATATAGTACTTTTTGTGATGTGATGTATGTAAGATAGTTGGGAATATAAAAGATGAGTTGGAAAATGTGTTTATGATACAAGTAAAATATTATTTGAAAAAATTTGCTATCCAAACACTGACTTTGAAAATATTTGACATTAGCAAAGCTTTTTTTAAAAAAATCGAGAAATAGTCAATCAAAGTGTTTGGTAATCATGAAAATGTGAAATAGGTCACCACTAATGAAATGAAGTAGGGTTATCTAGCCGAAAATCATGTTGATAAAAAAAAAAACAGCTATTTAGAATTTTAGTTATTTTAGAAGTTGATTTTTATTTGATAATTAGATTAGAATTGATGTTAAAGTTAGTTTAGAAAATATAGTTGTTTGTGTTTAGATATTAGTATTGGAATAAGTTACATGGCTTTATTTATCTATTTAAGGACTTGAAATCCTAACTTTTTATTTGAGGAAGAAAAATCAATTTGTTGAATAAATTATTGATCCTTCTGAGCCTTTCTTATTCTTGATATTTTGATATGTTCTGCCAATTGAAGCTTTTGCTTCATTTATTTTTTGGATAGAGTATTATTTGAAATAATCAATATAGTACTT